GAGCTCTTGCTGTTGTATGAGGAGAGGGGAAGAATTATACAATTCACTGTAAATAAAAAAACAAAAAAAAAAAACATTAATATCAACCTTCCATCTGCATTTGTCTGTTCCTATAGAATCTACCGGCATCAAAACAGGAAGGCAGTGGTAAAGTAGTAAAGCCCGCCTCTTGCTCGATATTATTGGCTGCCTGGGCCAAGTGTGACATTAACGTGCACTGCGACTCTGAGCTGAAAAGTTTAAAATACTTACATTCTTAAAACGCTAGGCGCGAGAGAGGAGCACACGCCAGGTCAATAGAAAAACAATGGTTCTGCAGGCGACAGGTTTCTCGGTGGAATCGGGGCCTTACAGAATATAATGAGGACGTCACAGGTCAGTACCTAGTATCCATGGGCCAACCTAAGGCCCGGTCCACATTATATTCAGAGTAATTGGGTGAGGGTGTTTTTCTACACGTCTCTACAAGTGTTGGTGTTCTCTCTGTGTTCAGGTCTGTAGAATTAGTAGTAAACTGTTGGATCTGTGATGACCTCTAGTATATAGAACACAGTCCATGTAATAGTCTCTACAATAACCATGAGCGTTCAGAAACAAAAAGGAGAAAACTAGGTGTGTTAAGGTTGTCGATATGAATATCACATGAATGTTACACGATGTGTAATCTTTTAGAGAGGGTGACGAGATGATTAGTTCGTTCTTTGAAGCCTGAGTAGGTGAGTATTGACCTGATATCTGACGGCCTTAACCCTGCTGACATGTTGGAATGTCAGGAAACATCTGTGAGCAGAAACGGTAACATCTTCAAAAGAAATGTGCATTTGGCTTTGCCCTGCAAGGGCAGACGGAGGATGCATGGGGAGACACGAGGAACCCTGCTGTCCCATCAGCTGGTTTCTTCCTCCGGCGCGTCTCCACCTCCTCCCAGTACGTGACCGACACTGGAACCAGTCAGCCTCACACAGTCCTGGGTGGCAGCTGCTGTTTGTAGAGTCCAGCCAGAGCTTTGGCAGCGCTCTGGATCATTTGCCGCTGGGTCATGCCCGTCACGGCCCGGTGCCAGTCTGTTCTGTTGATGTTGGGTACGCTGCGCTCCAGAACCTCGCCCACTGTAACAATGAGACCTGACCAGCGCAGGCTGTAGTCAGGAGGGGTCAAGGACTGAGCCTGCACAGCAGAGGAAACACAAACAGTGGGGTGAGTTGCTGGAGGTGAGTGATATTGAGGAAAACTAAGCTGCAACTACAGTGGTTGAAAAACTCTCAAAATATTTTTGACTTTTTGCTGGAAATCTGAGACTGTTCCCCAATAACAACCCTATTATTATTATTATTATTATTATTATAATAATAATAATAATAATAATAATAATAATAGAGACATTAGGTTATTGAAGTGAGACACAGTGCTGATCTGTACCTGCTGGACATGATCCAGAGCCAGAGGAGTTGCCTGAGTGAAGACCTCAATGTGAATGCTGTGACCGGGGTCCTCCAAGATCAGACAGCCGATGTCAAACCACCTTGATACAACAAAAGGATTCTGAAAATTGGCTGCTTTTAAATGTCTGCATTCATCATCATTTCCTCCCACTGAATAGATTTGATCCATGGGCCATTCAGAGCTGCTGCATGGACAACTATTCTCTGAAACTTCCAATGCTCGGCCTACATCTGCAGTGTGAACACATGGCTCTGTATCACATCAAGAGTTTTTCTTTGCATTTCACCCTCAGTAGTCATATTAACGGTTCTTTATTTTAGCTAAACAACAAAACACTGAAGGAGTGCAAAATAGGGTGCATATAATTATATTTTGTCTCCCTTTATGGAGGAGCAGTTCATTATATCCATCGATATGACGGCATCTAATACAATTCCTGAGGTATTAGCAGATATAATATATTACAAGCTGATTATAAGTCACTATAAAGTGGCCATTGTCAAGTTAAAGAGAAGATTTAATCTTATCTCTATTTATCTATCAGAGCTTTGTTCATACTCTCGCTTGGCGCAGTAGTGTGAGCCTCTGCAGATCCGAGCATGTATGAAGGCGTTTCTACTCTAGAAGCAAAAAGACGAGTGTAGCCGGCAAAACGCCACAAACCATCCTCCACAATGTCGAGGAGGGATTGTAAGTATCTGTAAACTCATATTAATGGACTACTTTATCGCCTTTATACAAGCCCTGTAAAGAAACAAGTCAAGTAGCACAAGCATTATAAAGAATATCCTGTAAACTTAAAATTGTAAAATTCAGAATTGCACAACAAAGTGCCTCGACTACTTGCGGACCCTTTAGGCACGACGCCCAGGCCGTGATGATGTTGTTTTCTCGCTTTACTACAGAGAGTATAAACTAAGCTTTAGGGATGTAGTGTGAAAGACACCAGCGGGCGTTACCGATGTTCTCCGTGTCTCCGGGGTTTTTTCTTCCTGGAAGAACTACAGAGTGCTACTTCAGTTTTGGGTGCTTCCAATTCAAAAACGCTTGTATTACAGTTATGTTTTCAACAGCGCAAACGGCATCACAAAATATACGTGCAGAGGATGATTTTTTTCATTTGGCAGTGTTCTGGCAGCAGCAGACCCTCCAGAACCTGGTGGTGTGTTTGGGGTTCAGAGGGTTAAAGCAACAATGACCACTTAGAGTGACTTATATTCACATTACAATAAATGATCAAAAGATTGATCAGCAGTTATGAAGTAATATTATACTTGACCGTATACGTCATTGTAAAAGGCTTGATAATGTGTTATGATTATTGTTATAAAGCGGTGTGGATATTTACGAGTGCTTACAACTATCATTACTTAGTGCTTTAAGTAGATTTAATGCATTATAAGTATGTTCATAATGCATTATAGACATGGCCGTGTGTGTGTGTCAGAGGTTTTGTTCTTACCTGTCGGAAAACAGCTCAGCGATGAAGTTTTCCAAAGAGACCACTGGCTGCTTCTCGTGGATCACACCGGCTCGACGCAGGCTGTCGATGCGCTCCTGAGCCCCCTGCGCACACGCACACGCACACGCACACACACACACACGTGATTCCTCTATGCAACACTGTCGTCCTCAAAAAGTGGACTTGTACTTCTTTCAATATTTAGAACAGAAAACTGTAATCGTGAGCCAATGGAAGTCTATGGCTGAAACACTTAGTTGATTAATTTAATAGTTAACTGTTAACTATGGAATTTTGATAAACAATTTTTTGGTTGCAGTTTCTCAGATGTGAAGAATCTGTTGCACAGAACACACGGACACCTCGCCCTGTTTGGGAGCGTCTCTGGATAAAGCAGAACGAACATTTTCTCTTCAAATTACGACTATTCTCAAAATATCATGATCTTTTTCTGGTACTATTATGACTGAATTCTCGAAATCTAAAATAGAAATGAGCATACACCATGCGGAATCATTTCCAACATTTTGTGCAGAACTGATGAGTACGAAGGAAAAGTATAATGAAAAATGATCCTGTAAGAAAATGGACTTCTGCATTCTCTGTTACTTTAATGCACAACGTTGTATTCATTAAAAAGCAGGTTGGAGAAGCAGCAGTGAACTGACCTTGACACCGGCTGCGTAGCCCACAGGCTGCGGGGCGATGTTGGACTGACCGGGCTCTCCGGTGACCAAGGCCATCCCAAAAACCTCCTGGAAGGCATCTCTGACTGCCTCCACATTGACCTCCTTATCTGAAGTCACCACAATGTCGATGTCCCCGCCAGACTCTGGAGAGCAACAATACAAACGTGCATCAGCATTTTTCATCATGAGGGTAATGCAGTGGTGAGGAGAGAGCAGGCCGACTCACTGATGTATGGAGCCATGCCGGGATCCAGAGTGGTGATCATGGACTCCACAGAGTGCTTGGTTTTGTCCAGGACCGTCTTCACCACAGGGTTACCTGCTACTCCCTGAGGACACGCAGACAAAACACAGGACACGACGGTCAGAGCACTGTGCTGGGCCCCGACTGATGAAACATCTCATAGTTAGTGCTACTGGGACACATTCATTCAGGTCAATCGCATTTTCACACAGCTCACATCACGTCTAATAGTTTCTATTTCTTTTAAAAGGTGATATATTATGCAACATGCACTTGTTCGTGGCTTTGTAAAATAAATGTGTATAAGAATAGACCGTCCTCTCTCTTTCTCTCCTGCCCCACCGATCAGTAAAATGTGTGTACTAACGACCTGCTGCAGGACATGATGTCCTATGGGGTTCATCTGCAACAGGACCATCCCTGCCTAGGCAGTACCTGCTGCTTCAAAACATCAGTCCACAAACCAATGGGTGGCGTCACGTAGGGCTGCACAATTATGGCCAAATTCATAATCGCGATTATTTTGATCAATATTGCGATCACGATTATTCATTAATTTTAGGGACAACATCTTTTTATTGCACTCACGTTTAAATGAACAAGAACACTGCTTCCACTTCCATTGTTGTGCTACATTCTGGCTAATGTACAAATCTTTGTATCAGACTGCCCTTATCACAGTGCATCTCATAGAAGGAAAATATAAATAAAATAGTATCAACACTTTTTACCCAAAATTAAATCAACAGAGCATTGCTTTCACTTCCATGTTGTGCTACATTCCAGCTAATGTACACGTCTTTACATCAAAATAAAACTTATACGGTTCTTATTCACCTGAAGCAAAATATAAATAACATTTTTACCCAAAATAAAGGGCTAACTAAAAATAAATATGTGTTGCTCACAGTATTTATTGGACACATGTCTTTGGCCAAATGAAATGCGATTGCATCCGTTATTTCAGCGTGTCTTTGGGAGGTGGATGGATACGCTGTTGCGCTATGCAGGGTCGCTGTTATGGTTTTCTGGGTTGACGTTGGCCATGGACGGAGATTCAGTGAGGTAACGTTAGCTTTGGCCTTAATGCATTCGTCGTACTGTGGTGATTTTTCAGGTGGTTGAACAAGTTAGTTGTATTGCTATGCGGCGCAGACACAACTCTAACGCACTCTGTGCATATGATTTGTTCTTGGTTAACATCACTTGCCCTAAATCCAAAAAACTTCCAGACAACGGATGATGATCCTTTTCGAGGGGCTAGCTCCTCGCCTTCTGCTCCTGACATTTGATTGACCTTTCACACGACACCCGTGACCGTCTGCTCTCTGTTCTGTTGTCTGTCTCTCTACTCTTCTACTAACAGCAGAGTCTGCAGGGTGCGCACATGACACCTCCCATCTCGTTCTCCCCCTGGTGGTCGGCTGACTGTTAGTTGAGGAAGCGCTTGATTTTATATGTAGCAGAGCACGCATTTTAAACGTCAATATCGCTGACGATCATGCTCATTTAATCGTGGCAGCCAAAATCGTGATCGTGATTAAAATTTGATTAATTGTGCAGCCCTAGCATCACGTCATCTATGGTAGCCACTAACAACTATTAGCTATGTAAGGATATAGTGGAGTGATGTAATGAAGTCACTCTCCCTCTGTGCATGTGGTAATCTGGTTACAGCTGATAATGCTGACAGCGTCGTCGCGGAGGCGTAGCGCCCACACCCTCCGGTCTGCAAAGGGCTTTAAAGTTATGTCAAACCCCTCTTGATTGGAGCGGCATTACCTTGAAAAAGCCCCAGATGCCTCCACCAGTGTTGGTGTGTTCAGGCCCCCTGGGGTCCTCCGGCTCCATGGGGAAAGTGATGGGAGATCCCGTATCAAATCCTCCTGTCATGGCTGGCTGCTGCACCATGGGGTTTGGCACTACACCTGGAAGATATAGTTTGCATTTTTTTTTTTTTTTTACCTACGTAACAAATATAATTGTACCGCGTGTGTGTGTACGTATTATATAACTATATATTTATATATATTGGAATACCTGTTTTGAAAACACACTGATTGACTGAGTAAGACTAGCTTAACTGGTAATCTTGCTTCATGTGTGTTACAGAAGAAGACAAGCTCTTACCTGGCATGGCGGTAGGACCGGAGAATGTTGGCATCAATGGAGTCTGTGGCGTTCGACCGGCATGGCCCCGCGTGATGTCATATCCTGCACTCATGGAGAAGGTGGACATAGGTGGGCCCGAGGGAGGGGCCGACAGGGGAGGAGGTCCAATGGAGGAGGCTAGGGGAGGCAGAGAGGGGGAGATGGAAGGAGGAAAGTGAGAGCTGCTCGTGAAGGGGGAGGCAAGGGTGGAGGAAGGAGGGAAGTGGGAGGACAGTGAGGGGTGTGCGGCTAGGGGGCTGCTGAACGCAGGGAGGGAAGGAACAGGGGCCAGAGCGGTGGAGACCGAGGGGCAACCGATGGTGCCAGGAAGGGACAGAGGGCTGGACAGACCTGGAACACAAAGTTACACCTCAGAGACTCTTCTCACTGGCTCTTTTGTCAACAGTTCAATGTGCAGTTCAGGTCGTCCATGTCTCTGTCCAACGTGCTTCGTAGTAAACCCCTCTGGTACACTCTGCTCACATAGCAACACCTCATGGATCAGGTCTTACCTTTGGTCATTGGAGGGGCACTGACTGTCGCCGCCACAGTCAGAGGTGTAGGGCTGGCAGGAGGTGTAGTCTCAATCCCACTTTCTTCCATCATCTTCTCTGCCTTGTACTACACTTCAGCCCACAATATAGCTGCAATAAAATGTGATGAATCAGAATCAGGATTATTGTAGAGTAGTAGATTTCACATACAAGGAATTGGCTTTGTTGTCTTGGTGCATAACATAAAAATAGTAAAATAAATTAAAAAAGTACATACAAAAATCAATAAAGATAATTATAGAAGAGAAGAAAATTATAATAAAATACAACTTTAAAATACCATATGAATACTACTATATACTATAAAAAATATGTAGAATATATCTGAAATCAAATCAAATCTATACAGAAGAGACTTGGATATACTAAATATTACTACAAAAATGTGTGCAATGTATTTGAATGAAAAATGAAAGAGCCGTGCAGTGAGAATAACGGTAAACTTTAATTGGGAAGAATTTAGCCGCTTGTTATAAACGATCAGGTAGGTCGCATTGAAATATGAATTGGGGACACACATATGCAGACACAGTTCATCCGGTCGCATTGAAACAACCACGTCACTCACCTGGTTCAACTGGATCCAACTTTTTGTTCAGTGTTCGCAGCTCTGTATCAAGCTGTCCTGGGTTAACGCTACCTTCGTTTCACACAGTGGTGGGCCTATCTAACTGAGACGTTCTAGAAGTGTCGCTTCACCCTGTATCTGACAGTGTTCATAAGCGACGCCACATCAAACTGTTTTGGACTTAATTCTGCGTTAGCTAGCTTCCTCAAACGTAGCGCGCGCTGCGGTTGTAACGTTACACGTCTACAAACACACTTGGCTCTAGCAAAAGAGAGACGTAGGTATAGGAAAATTGACGTGTAATGTTACATTTGTATCTAATTATCCAGCAGCAAGCAGCAGTGAATATCACGCCTCTCTTTTGACAAGTAGGAGAAGTATCTTGGCCACTCACCTGCTAGCAGTACTGGCTCTGCACTTCCATGAACAAACCACCGACCCTTTTTGATGACGTCATGTGTTGCCACGTCTGCTCGACAGTTGACTCCTCCCATCACCGGGAGCGCCCGGACCTGAGCCTCTTAAAGGGCCAGAGCGCTTTGCGGACCTGTTGAAACCCAAACCACGTGACCACCGAAGGCCGCGAGCTGTCCCGTGTGCCGGGCTATTTGAGTCGATACAGACCTATAAGTATATATATGACCTATAAGCATATGTATAATAAAGAAATGTATGATCATATTAGCTTAGCATTACATTTGCTTGATTTTAGTTCCGAAAAAGCAGTGTCATAGTTCCCACCACAAAATACAACAACAACCAGCTTCAGATCTGGACATAATTCATCAGAGACTATTGACAAATAACATATTTGTGAAGTTAAAAAGACATTTTGTTTATTCGGGGCAATAATGTGCATAAAAAGGATTCATATTTTACAGACATAAGATGTGCCATGATCAGAAGTTTATTTCATTTTTGTCTAAATATCAAATTCATATACAGCAATCCATCTGTCCGATAAAATTTGCATTAATAGAAAAATATTATCATTTCTATTATGGATATTGTTTACAGTATCTGATTTTACTGTTCTATCAACAAATATACATAGATATCCAGATTCAACTGAATAATTACTTACCACAAGGTGGTAAAATATTCATATCCAAAAAAGAAAAAAACCTTTCCACCAGGTTGGAGTGTATCAACTTTGTTGTGTGTACAGTGATTTTTTTTCATAACGATTAAAAGTTTTTAACATAACGCTTTTATGTGGACAGTTTCATGTGTGGACAGTTTCATTCTTAATTCTGTTATCTCTTTCAACTTAGATATAATTCATACTTTCATGCTCCTTTATACTTAAGACGTATTAATGTATCTAACCCATTCTTCGAAGAAAACTCAATTTCCGTCAGGCATTGAAGAGGCAGTTATGAATTCTTGCATAAAAACAAAAAAAGTAATATTAATTACATAATACAACAACAGTGATGTCATCCCCACCTCACAATATCAGATTTTTTATTATCGTGGCCAAAATAATTCACATATTTAACTTTGTTTATTGTGCATTTTGTTACATTTTTGGCAAACTAATTTAAGTCTAAATACAAGTCTATGGTGGAGAGAGAGTCTGTAACCAGACTTTAAGAGCGGCTGGCAGGATTGTTTTTACACAATATGTTTATTATTTTATTATTAACATATCAATATTAAATTTTTTTAAATATCAGTTATCACTCTTGACACTCTTCTTGTCCTCTCAGACAGATTGTGAGCCAATCCATCATTTGTGGCAGGCAATTCCAAACTTGGAATCTTTGATCGCCGGTGTGTGTGTGTGTATGTATATTTGTGCGTATGTATATATGACAACTGCCCAGAACCACAACTGCACACGGAGTGTACTGTCACCAGGCAGGGAAACCCACTCACATATGGGACATCATCTGACACAATGTCAAAAAATTATGTATTTCTTTCCCCCATAATGCATACATTTGATCTGAATTCCTGCCCTGATGGCTTGTGAAAAATACCATAGAAAATCATAAATTAACTTGTCAAATCATTATATCCAGACGTTAGGGATAAATTCGGTAAGAATTTCAACATGCACATTGTTCTTTATTGTGAAACGTACAGGTAGCGTTGAGGTCTAATGACAGTAACAAACCAGTGATCATAAAAACAGTTACGGTGGAAATAGGTATTAAAAAAACATTTCTGTTAAAAAGAGAAAGTGAGAGCATCAGAGTGGTTACATGTCATGACTGATGGACCTATGGTGTGAAAATGTATATATGATAAATAGTACTGAACTTAACAAAATGTAAACACGTAAGAGTTGAGTTTGCATCAACGGATAATTCAAACTTTAGTAGACCAGAACACAGAAAGGCTTCTTATAAAACAGAAAAGTAGAAATAAAGAGCTGTTTGTAATAAAACCTGCTTCTCTCTGGAGTTGAGGTCAATAAAGGCACACTGACCAAGTACAAGTAAGAATCCACTTTTGCAAGTTTGGTCCAAAAACATTTAAATCCTCTTTCCTTATTTATAACACAATAAACTAAATATAGTCACTTGTTATCTACATTCGCAAAGAGCTGATGCTTAGAGCTGTTATCTGTCATGGTTGAATCATTGAAAAAGATAAAACCATCTCCTTGACCAATGCAAACCTTGAGGAGAGGGTAGATACAGCTGTGTTTTTAAGGTTGCAGTATAAAACAGTTGGGGACTCCTCACTGTGGCACTGATCTCAAACAGGGTTCTAAGTGACAAACGGTTACAAAATGGATTGTGTTTATTTGAGCTGTCACGATTTGGATTGTTATTCGAAAATCAATCAAAACGATATTTCAAATTCGTCCTTCAAACCGAAAGCAGGATCGCAGATTCTCCCAGTGGATCTTTTTCTGCTCCATCCTCGCATCCAAGCAAATAAACAGAGTGTAGCCTGCCGGAAGCCTGCAGGTGCAGTGGAAAACCCTCCGGCTTCCCTAAAGTCATTGCTGTGGTGACTTTTTGCCTTCCCTGTGAGAGTTATGCAAAAAACACTGCGACTGCGGCTCAGTTGAGAGCAGGGTCGTCCTTCGATCAGAGGATCGGTTGCAGCATGTCGATGTGTCCTTGGGCAAGACACTTAACCCCAAATTGCTCCTGTAGCTGTGCCTACAGTGTGCGAATGTTGTATGAATGTTAGATAGTCCTGATGGGAAGGTGGCACCTTGCATGGTAGCCCCTGTCATCAGTGTATCAATGAGTATGAATGGGTGAATAATGACATGTAGTGTTAAAGAGCTTTAAGTGGTGGGAAGACTAGAAAAGCGCTCTACAAGTACAGTCCATTTACCATGAATGGTGAGTGTTTATAAATTGATCTTTCCAGTCACAATGTCGTGATACAGACATGCAGTCAGAGGAATATAGTCCTTCTGAGAGACATCTAAGAAATACAGAAGATCCTTGGCGACATCCGGATTAAAACCCTCCTGGACCAGCTTCACCTTCTGCTGCTTGAAGGTCTCCGTCACATCCAGAGAGGTCTAAAAACACAGGGCAGGGATACAGATGAGCAACACTTTACACTTCAAAATACAAACGGCAGGTAATGAATAGCTGCATGACCTACCTGTACTCTGAGAAACCACGGCCAGGCGTATGCAGGAAGTGTTTTTATTAAATGGTTGTAAAGTTTTGTTCCATCTAATTTGTGATCCTGTTTTAAGACGATTGCAGCCATACCTGCCCGACCTTCATATCCTGCGCACACACACACACACACACACACACACACATTGGAAAAGAGTCACACACTGATTTGGGAAAAGTCATACTTTACAAACGCTACATTTGCAAAGTAGAAGGCACTGTTGGTATTTCTCAACATAATAACAGTGGTCTCCTGAATAATGTACCCTGCTATATAAAGGCTTCTGTTAAAAGGGTAGGTTGGGTGTTTTGAAGTGGGGTACTCATCCATCGTCAGTGTATTATTACCTACAGTAGATGTAGTTTAGAGAAGCAAGAACCAGTACGAGCACTGGAGCAAAGCAATGTACTGCTGTGGACGGGGACGGAAGTAAAATGTATTTTAGACACCAAAAAAAAAAAAATCAATATCAGTTTAAGTCGCCGGTTTACGTTGCCGTGAGACAGCTATACTGTCTAGGTTCCCGACAGGGAACTGAGGCCGTTATGTACAGTATGCTCTCGCCAAAGACACCTTTCTGAGAAACCTTTTTGTTTGTTTACATCAGCTTGGTGGATAGCTCTGCATACTATAATACTCATGAGCTTCATGTGGCGCTGCTATGGAGAAGAAGTCCGTCAGAGGAGTGAATCAGAGAGCTGCATCAAAATGCTTCGTTGTTTTAAGCACATCATCACTGTTGTCAAATTCCTCCAAACTGACCCAGGTTGTGAGGGTGAAGTGCTGATGATAGCTGAACAAAACTAAAGGCCAGAAATGGCTTTTAAAAAAGGGTCAACAAGTATGTTGTCTATTTATGATCTTGGGACCTTACAGCGAGAAATGTGGCTTAACTTGGTCACTGTCTCACTGGTATGAAACCACAGAAACAGGGAGTTGGTGTGCGATGAACACAGATTCCACAGACCTGGGATGGTGACTCCGTAGATGTTGGCCTCCTGGATAAAATCAAGAAGACCTAAAACCTCTGACACCTCTGTGGTGGATACGTTCTCTCCTTTCCACCTGCAGGACAAGAGGTTAGATGCAGTTAATCCTGCAATAATTCATTTTGATGGGGCATAGGAAACAATTATGAACATTGACATAATACAGTATGTCAATAATAACAATAAGTGAAGAGTGAACCAAATGAGTAAAGTTGCAGCCTGACAGCTAAACAACGAGCTGAACTCACTATAAAGCTCTGTAAATCTGTGGGGAACTGCTGACTCAGGTGACAATTCTCTGTAGGTCCATCACTATGAGCGACCCCTTTCACATTGTGCTCATATCACATTTTATATACTGTTGGGCTATTTTCAGATTATTTTTTAACTTGCAGAGCACGGGAGATGCTGGTTTACTCAACACTCAATATCCTTTGTATGCACTCAATTTTGAATATTTTCGAAACTGAAGCCATCGTATCCATCGATCCTCTCGCAAAAGCCAATAGACTCCATTGACACACTGTTTTTTTTTTTACCTTAAAGGTGATTCAGAACTAACCCTTTGAAACACTGAAGTTACACAATAACACAAACAAACTAACCAATTGAGGCAGATTTTAACCTGTTCCGCATGGCAAAATCTCTGTTTCTTTTCAATGGCTTTGGCGAGAGCATCGGTAACAGCTGGAGCATGTTTGGTGTTGACAGTGTGTTGGATGTTTCACAACACTGGTAAAGGGTTTCTATTGAATAAGATACCAACTAAAGATTTCAGTTGTGTATCCTCGTTCTCAACAAGCTTTCTAAATGAAATACAACTTCCCTTGCAAGGTTGCATTAGCACAGTCTTACATGCTACAGACAGTAACGGCACCTGAAGGTGTCTCCGATTCGGTCACGGAAGTAAAGAAAGCCCCTGTCATCGTGGAGCAGGAGGTCCCCTGTGTTGAAATAGACATCCCCAGCTTTAAACACGGCCCTGAGCAGCTTCTTCTCAGACTGGACCTGGTTCCCAGCGTAACCCAAGAACTGGTTCATAGCAGTCAGAGGAGATACCAGGATCCCTGCCTCTCCTGTGCATGGAAACAGGAAGTGCATTCAGCTATGAACTACAGCCTTTCATATCATAAAGGACTTGTCATGTTATTCACTTACCTATTGGTGCTCGTATGCATCTTCCAGAGTCGGTGCGGACTGGCTCGTATGTTTGTGGATCATATCTCAGGAGCTCAAAGGGCATAGCAAGCTGCAAGGGAGGAAACGACAACAGTTGTGACTTGATGAGCAACTGATTTAGCAGTGACCGTCTGACTAATAGGCTTCACTAAATCATTGTTATACGCCATACAGTCAGCAACGTCTTTATATTAATTTCATCTTACTGCATCCATATTCAGTGATCTGTACAATGCATTTCATATTTCAGATATTTATGGGGTGGGACCAGAGGAGGAGGACTCTGTGTCTACATCTTGATGCTTGGTGCTCAAACAGTCAGAGTTGATGGACGATGTTTTCCACATGTAGAGTTTTTAATGTGAAGATGTCGGCCATATTGTCTGACCAGAGGATTGTTTCTGTTGATGCTGTTTACGTTCCTTATGATGAAAATTTAAATAAATGCACAACTGGAATGTACTACTTGTTTTGTTGTGTTTGTTGTGTTATAAATGGGCTACAACTGAATTTCATTGAGTATCCTTGTCCTTGCATAATGACAATAAATGAACCTTGAATCCTTGTCACTTCTCCATTTTGAAATACTAGTACTTACGTTTTGTAACATTTTCCTACAATGTTATATATGTTGACCTTACTTATTGTTAGAGTCATTGTCAACTGTATACTTATTAGTGTATGTTTCATATTTGTTTGGGTCTTATGGCTCGCAGCTCTACGGTTTGGGTCCATTCCCTGCGCTCTCATCAACTTCGTTCACAAAGCATCCTTTTGAAATCATCAGGGCTGTGTAGGAGCCAAAGTAGAAAAAAAGTCTATTGATGCCCAAATAACATCTGGATGGGACTGCAATATCTTTTTAGCAAAGCATGTAGGTTATGGACTTTTTCTAATCACAAGACAAAATATCAAGTGGCTTTATTATCATTCTCCAACTGTTAGTCCCTAGTACGAGTAAAACACTGAACAACTACCTTTGTAAATGGGGATGAAATGTTGCCAATATGACAATGCATCTAAATTTGGTTGCATCTCCAAAATTACAAGATCTAATGGAATACAGTGTGGCAAGGTCCAGAGAAAACGTCCCTAACTGTGTGATGCCTGACCTTGTTGAAATAGCTCGCCCTCCCGATTGGTCCGACCTCATCGGTGTAGTTGAGGAAGCCGATGCTGGCCTCAGTCAAGCCGTAACCCTCTCTGATCTTGATCCTACCGAAGCGTTGGACAAACTCCCTCCAAACATCTGACCTGAGACCACTTCCTGCCGCCAGCCGAACACGGTGAGTCCTCTCCTCTGGAACCTGGAGGCAGGATGAGACGTGGATTAAGAAACAGCGTTTAACGTTTTTAAAGGAACAGTCCTACCTCTTGGGAAATATGCTTATGTACGGGCTCTTCCAGAGTAACATGCAAAGATTTATATCACATGAATGTGTGTGTGTCCTGTACAGACATGGACAGACTGGAAGCAATGGGGAAACTGTACGGAGATTGTAAAAGTAAAAAAATACTTTTAACAAGTCTAAAGCTATCTAGTAATAGAAAGCTTTAGATTCCTTGTTGATGGACACACAATACCAAGGCACCAACACTCTTTTCACCCCATGAAGCACAATATTTTCAATTGTTGTGCCAATGTATCAATGAATTGAAAGTTTTTATTTTTATTTTTTACTTTTGATGCTAAACTATCTGATGCGCAAGTCAAGTGACACATGTTGGGATAAGAAGAGGGAAAATAAATAGTCAAATATGGTGAGTAAGACTAGAAAGAAATGGATGGGTGCATAGACCCCATATGCAGCAGTGTAGGCTGTATGGGAGGCATTTCCGTTACTGGTATCGGAACAACTCTAATTTGGACATATTGAAGCATTTCTTTAACTGAACAAGAACATTACTACATACAAATTTCACCTTCTTGGACTTTTATTGCGCACATATGAGATTGAAACTCTAAAATCAGCAAGGTGTTGTACTGCTTTTGCAAAAAGCTGCAATTTCTGCAAACCACCAGATGTCACCTGACACTTTTTTTTTGAGAGGGGGGGGGGGGGGGGGGGGGGGGGGGTGATGGTTTGGGGCAATGAACATGTTATTCTTTTTGTGTGTGGCACAAATAGGAAGTAAGCCCCAAAGCTTCATAAGGTTACATCCACCCACCTCATGGTCCTCTGAAGTTGAATTGTTTCAGTGACTTCCAGACCTTACCTTTAGCTGCCACCCCACCCAGCCCCTCTACTGATAGAAAAAAAAAAAGATTTGTACCACCCAATGCGATCACAATATCATTATCATTAGTTGCAATGAACACGGCAGCTGCTGTGTCTTTAAACATCTAGTAGTCAAATCTTACAAGATGGGCTTTGATTCGAATGTTGGCAGTCTTACCGCGGGATGGCTGAACAGGTATCGACAGAGCTCTCCTATGTACTGCACCACCGTCACATTGTGTTTCACACAGTCCTTCCAAAACTGACTGGCAGAAAACTTCTTTTTCAACACACACGTTGCACCTGTGATCCAAAGGAGGAGGTAGAGAGAAAACGGCAGGGCAAACAGTGCAAGACAATATAGTGCCAAAAACTTATGACATGACTAACAATGTCAATACAAAGTATTTATAGCTGGAGCTGGAGTGACACATTTCCTCTGCTTTGTTTCAGCCTTTTCTCCCGGTATGTGAGGAAGTGACAATTCCTTATAGGCCAATCAAAAGGATGTTGGTTTCCTCCAGCGCTTGCTCCAGAAACTTACAATGTACTGAATATAAACAACAAATCTTCCAGGAATTGTGTACATTTGTCACAAAGTACTGTTCTCACCGAGGTGTATGCAACCTCCGATCCCCAACAGGGACGCGGACATGTGGTAAAGAGGGAGAGTGATGTAGATGACGTCATCGGACGTGGCTCCACACATATGAAGGAAGGCCATGCTCCCAATGGCTTTCATATGACCTACACGGGCTGCCTTAGAGAGACCTGAAGGAGAACGGCAGCAGTCACTGAAGACACTTGATGGAGTCATCACAAACATATTTAAGCACTAACTGCATTTTATACCAGTTTTTTTTTAATTGTTTTTATTTATTTATTTTTTTTTTAAATCAGTGTATGGCCAAACTGCCATAAACAGTAAACAAATTCAAAGAGGATGGTTGCCCTGGATCAAACACCAGAGGATCAGCAAAGTTATTACATTTGATCCTGAGGGGAACATGAATGTTTGTCTACAACAACTTTAAATGGAAATCCATCCAATTTCCGTTTAGATATTTCAGTCTGGACCAACGTGGCGGAACAACTGACCAATGTTCCACATGGCTAGAATATGTTGTTGCACAAGGCCAAATGACTTAAGTTGAACTAAAAATGCATAGATCTCACTTTGACTAATAAGTCAGCCACTACAATCAAGTCAATCTCAATTTACAGTTTTTCATTGTATTTGTTAATATTTTGTAAGTATTTCAGTATTGTTGGTAATTGATTCAAGACTGTGGCCTTTAAGATCTGTAGAATATATTCATCCCACAGGTTGTAGAGATGCTGCAATTTGAATGAAATATATATATTTACAGTAAATATGCACATTTTGATCGTATAAAAAGTTAAAAATATATTGCGTGTATATATATCTATATCTATAGATACATATACTATGCATATTACATGATCATCCTCATCTGCTGCTTCATCTTACAGGTCATTTGAACAAGTATAATGTTAATATAATATAATATCATGAATACTCCACCTGCTGAAAAAGATCATGTGACGCTATTGAAAGCTCCAGAACAGCTACTAAATGGACCTTGTGATGAGATTGTTTTGTCAACTTCTGTCAGGTCCAAGCAGCACTTCCTCTATTGTTTTTCTATAGTTAGAATGTCTCTACGCTGGGATTTTGGCGCATTTAGGTCTGTCACGATATTTCTTTATCTGATGACGATTTATTGACATGACCTCAAATATTTGCACATTGTCGACTTACCGTACGTTATATGTAGCTACATGACCATGATAATTTTTACATTAACGACTTATTGCACGATATATGGACATGACCTTGAACATTTATACAATATTGGCAGGCGATATATGGGACGGAGCCCAAGACTGTATTTTTATATTTTCTTTTGCTGTGTGGTTATTTTCATATTTTTCACATTCAAATTCCAATGTCTTATATGTCAATAGTTTTATAAGTTATAGATAAGTTATATTATCAATATCAGTGGTTTTAAATGGTCTTAAAATGACCAATAATATTGTTAATGGAAATTAATTCTGGGACAATATATCACCCAACAACAGTTATTATTGTGACAGGCTATGTGCAGTGTTGTAAATGAATATGTAATAACTGAAGAAAACAACACTCATGCAGTACCTGTGGTGCCTGAAGTAAAAATGAACAGGAAGTTCGACATGATGTCAACTTTGGGAAGATCACTTAAGTTTTCTCCAGACATGTGTTCCACCTTATCGAGTAAAGTGCTAAATTCCTTAGGTGACGTGTGATCCACCACCCACAGGGCCATGTGGTCCTTCAGATCAGGCAACACCTCCTCCACCAAACGCACCAAATCTGGAAAAATCAGACACAATGGGATGTCTCACTGTTAATTCATCAGACACAACCAAAGCCAGTAAACAAACGAGCACATGCAGAGCGGTTCATTCCACTCTGCTCATGTTAGAGCTAGTTTGTGGTGTTGTATTGGACTGGACTGAATTATACTCTAAGCTGTTAGTTTGTCCTTCCCTACACACAGATGTGATAATGTGTGTGAGGTTGGAGTCAACATAACACCTTCCACGATAATTTACCGACCACGACACAGAAAGAAGCGAGGTAAATAGTGAACATAATCATAATCGTCGTATTCAGGGCTTCAAGCATGGGCGTGTTTATTGACGGAGAAGTCCCGGCATGGTACTTCGCTCTCTCCCTGTCAACGATCAGCACGACTGATAGCATTTCTCATGTGGGGAAACTTCCATAGGGGGGCCCAACATGAAATATGTCAACCTTTACTGTACAATAAAGGATAGATAGCAATGTTACGACAGTGGCTTTCTCCAGATAACCCACTGATCCTGCTGGCATCATCCCATTCATTCAACTTTCAATTAGGAAAGGAAAACTAGTGTGGTGAACTTCTGTTAAACTGGAGAATATGAGAGGTACAAGCTCATGCAAGGTTAAGTTGGTCATTGTAATTTACATAAAACAACTTTAGTCTAATTATTACGTTACGGCAAAATGGGTTTGATCCAATTAGTTTTCTGTTGACAGACTCATCAATTTATCTAATTGTTTCACCACTACATACAAAAAAAAAAAAACTACCTTTTTACAGTGTGGTATTTTTGAGGTATTTCTTAGTACTTCTTCCTCCCCTGTCTTATTCACATTTTATTCCACACAATTTCATCTTATATATTGTTCCACATTCACTTTCTGATTATTTACCTACAGTACTACGTACTGCAGTGAACATGACCTAATTCAGACAAAATGATCATTTGTGGATCAATTACTGTACTGTAAACTTTTTTCTCCCTCTCTTTGCCGTACACACACTCTCATGCAACTCTTGCAGTATAATCAGAGTCTCACTGATCCAGTCGTATGTTCACTGTTTAAAAAGGAGTAGTGCGATTATACTGCACGAGTTGTGAGAGAGTTTGTAAACAGATGCTTTCATATAGTGTTGCTGCTTTGGCCACTATTTACTTCATTCAACAAGACGTTTCTCCTTCATTTGATTCTTCGCTCACTGTGGAGGTATGACAGAAAAACTACGCTTTCTTCAAGAATACAAGGTGACACAGGGGGATTGATAAACAAATGATCATTTTAGGGGTATTTCTTTTCATTTCAATTTATCTGATGGAAGGAGTCAAAATAATGGGGAGTGTTCCCTTAACTCTTCCCGTTCTACTGACATGGTGTGAATGCAACAAAAGGGCCAATGGTAAATACTTGTTATAAATTAAAGTTCAACTATAGAAGGTATATATGGAGGTAATATTTGTTATGCATTTGTATCGCACACGTGTACTTGAATAAGAAGAAAACCCACCCAGAACACTGTGCTGCTCAAATTCTGGGAACCTTAACTAGACCCCAAGTCTTTGTCCGGCCCTGCTAGAGCCATATGTGGGTCTAACGTCCTGTGTGTATCATAATGACAACAGATTTCTGGTGTGTGTGTGCAAACTATTTCCATTTATGTGGGGAGTAGCTACAGAAAACTGTGTCCGTGATTATTTTAACCCCCCATAATGAGACATGATGTAGTCGGACTCGAGCTTCTTAATCACAGCCCAGTGAGCAGGGTTGATCGTTTACGTGAGGGGGAAACGCACAATACCTGCGCCGACAACAAGCGTCCTGGCCCCGCAACTGTGGAAGCAGTGAAGCAGAGACTTGGCTTTAATATTGACGTTGAGAAAGGCCACTTCGCAGCCCAGTTTGCACAGCCCCAACCACACGCAAATAAAGTCCGGTTCGTTGAACATCAGCAGAGCAACAATGTCCCCTTGTTTCAGAGAGCCCTCCGTCCTGAACGCGTTCGCAAACCGGTTACTTCTCCTGTCCACATCCCGGTACGTCAGGGTCTGGTTTTCGAAGACGATGAAGGGTTTGTTCGGGTTCTTCTTCACCTGGTGGAGGAAACAGTCGAGGTACGTCACGATCCCTTGCTGCATACGAGCCCGCAGCGTCTTGCCGTAGCTCCGAAGTTTCAAGTAATAAATCAAATCCACCCAGAAGAAGGGATAAGTCCTCCTCTGGTAGAGAACGACAGCCAGCAGCCCTGCGAGGACGCTGCTCAACACCACCATGATCATCGTAACGGGAAAACACCACAGCCCGCGTCCACACAACACCGCTCCGACACTTTAGAGAAATCTGCGGTCAAACTGGTGGCCCACTCATTATGCAATTCCACAGTAGCGCGATGACAGCCAATGAGCACTACTGTGTGCAGCCTCGAGCTCCCACTCCAACAGAAAACGCTCAGAGTGGCCCCGCCCCCGCGTTGTTTGGAGTTACTGTGAGAGCGTGAGAGAGCTGACTTCAAAATAAAAGCGACGTTCCGGTGAACGTGATAGACACATTTCACGTTTGTTCAATAAGTCAGTCAGTCAATGAACAAACAAATAAAGAAATGAACCAAAAATGTATGTAATAATTTTTATAATACATAAAACTAATAAAACACACACGCACGCACGCACGCACACACATACACACACACACACACAC